GAGCACGAGGAGCATGGGATGTATAGTGTTTTTCTTCTAGATGGGATCAATGGAAAGCTCTTGGTTAGTTGAGTACATAGTTGCTTGTGGCTCGGAAGGGATATGAAGTTCTCATGATATCCTAGGATGGTATGGCACATGCGATATGTTATGGAGGATGGAGAATTGCGTGAGTAAGGTTACGGTTCAGTTCTGAAAGGAAGGACATAAAATTCTTAGGCAGCATGGGCAATTTCAGATAATTAAGGAAAAGGTACTGCTGATTGGTATGGCTTGATGAGGGTATACATTTTAGAAAGGGCGATGTGTTTGAGTTAGGGATGCTTTATTGATATTGCGGCACTATCTTGCCTTATCGACTAATGATATGCGTGTTTGCTAGGTGGCACAGAAGAATTATAGGTGTACCTCTCGTGGGATGATTGAGTATTAGAGGTGTGTTGTATATTCGAGCGGCGAAATTGGGATCAGATATGGTAATTCATGTGCTATATGGACTTGGAGACTGAAAGTTCTCATAAGCAGGTTACCTCGTGGTTGAGGACAGTAAAGATGTGGGTAAGTTAGTCAAATAATGGTATGTGCTATAATTCAGTCATTGTGGACCTTCGGGGGGTTATTTATCTGTTGTGAGTGACTAGAGTTGGTGTATGGTTCATTAGTAGACTTATATGGATGCGTGTTCTGCATCGGGACGGCTTTGTTGACCCCAAATTGTATTGTTGAGGGATGTGTTGATTCGATTGTTATTGAGCCTATTTGGGTTCTGAGGAGATATATGAGTTACTTTTCCGTGTTGCGGGGCATTTGGATTTGTTAGTTATAGGCACATGTAGTGCGGTGTTATTGGAGTCTCTCAGTGGAGCTCGAGCGGGAGGAATATTGGATATTGCTCGGCGGATGGCGTATCGGTTATATCCTTTTGGGTGCAGTGTTATTTATTTGCTTCACCGTGGTTATGATATTTTTCCTTGGCTCTAGACATCAATTGCGCGTGGTTGTCAATTTCGAGCAGAGTGACTTGAGGTGTTCCATGTGGACCAGTGTTTGGATAGGGTCGCGCATTGCAGCAAAATTATGTGGAGGTATGTCCTTGCGGATAAGATTCGTGTGTTCTATTTCTATGATGTGAGACTGGTTCTCAGCCTTGTGTTGTGGTGGTACTGGTAAGCTTGCGGTACAGCTCTTTCATTGAGTCAGTTTCATGATTGGAGTATGCTGGGATTGTTTCTTATTAGTGCACGGATTACGCAAGTTGCGGATTTAGTCTGTATTGAGGTGTTATGTCACCAGGGTGGTTGTGTTGGATTAGATGAGATCCTTAGGGTCTTTAATGAATACTAACGGATTCGATTTCAGCATGTTGGGAGAATAAATATCGATGTTCGGCTCAGAAATTTGCTATGGTCCTTGCCAAAGGAGGAGTGGCCTCATGAATGGTTGATCTGAGAAATGGTTATGGTTTATTGCGTGTTCATTTATCATTAGCAGTATATGAAAGTGTTGGAATGAGACTTTAGTTGATAAGAGGTCTTCTATCGGTATTTTGTTGTTATGTGCAGCTGCTGTGATTTGAAGTTATCGCTGCAAGCGTTTGAGTTATGTGGTATATCATGTAATTGCATCTGAGATTGCAGGTATGGGTTATTACAGCTTGTTCGGGCTTATTCAGAGTATAGGTGTGAGATTCTGATCTTGTTGATGATTTCCGAAGTGGAAATGTGGTTCTATGGTTCATGGGCTAGATTGGATTGTGAAATTTCAGTTACAATGTGTTATCGGACCTATATGAGATAGGGTGATGTGGGATCACCCCCAGGTATATGCATGGTAAGGTATTCAATGATTGGTTGGCTTTTGGAACAACTATGGGCACGTTCGAGGACGAACGTATGCTTAAGTGGGGGGAGGATGTAACGACCCGACCGGTCGTTTTGAGCTTTTACACCTTGCTCGTCAGTTCTCGGGTATGACTTACCCCGTGTGATGGATTATGACTTATGTAAATCGTTGGTTTTGGTTTTCAGGGTAATCGGAACGAATTTGGAAGAACAATTCTCAGTTTGAAGCTTGAAATTTGAAAAGTTTGACCAAGATTTGACTTGTGGTATATGATCTCGGATTGGAATTTTTATGATTTGGTTAGCTCCGTTAGGTGATTTGGGACTTAGGAGCGTGATCGCAATGCATGTTGGAGGTCCGTGGAAGGTTTAGGCTTGAATTGGCGAAATTGAGATTTTGGCATTTTCCGGTTGATAGGTGAGATTTTGATATAGGGGTCGGAATGAAATTCCGGAAGTTGCAGATCCTCCATTGTGTCATTTGTGACGTGTGTGCAAAATTTCAGGCCATTAAGACGTGGTTTGGTTGGGTTTTTGATCAAAAGCGTAATTTGGAAGTTCTTGAAATTCTTAGGCATGAATCCGATGTGATTTTGGTGTTTTGATGTTGTTTTGAGCGTTCCGAAGGTTGGAACAAGTTTGAATGAGGTTATGGGATATGTTGGTTGGTTTGGTTGAGGTTCCGAGGGCCTCGGGTGAGTTTCGGGTGGTCAATCGGACCATTTCAAGTTTAAGGAAGTTGCAGATTTTGATTTCAGCTGTTGCAGACATTTTTGTTCTTCGCCTCCGCGAGTGGACCCTCGCGTTCACGAAGGGTCAGGAAGGGAGGCATTAGATTTGTCCTTCGCGTTCGCGAGGGGGATTCCACGTTCGCGAAGGGCCGGAATGGGAAGCATCGCGTTCGCGAGATGCCTGAACACGTTCGCGATGGTTGGTGAGGCTAAGGCATCGCATTTGCGATGATGCGGCCGCATTCGTGTAGGAGAATTTTGGTCAATGGAATTTTTGTGCTTCGCGAACGCGAGGCTTTGACCGCGTTCGCGAAGAAGGACTTCTGATCGCTAGGCAGAATGTTTAAAAGGCCATTTTCGCGAGTTTTGGCCTAAGTTCACCATTTTTGACTCGATTTTGAAGCTTTTTGGAGAGGATTGAAGAGGGAATCAAGGAGGAACACTTGGAGGTAAGATTTATGGACCTTATACTCGATTCTTATGTGAATTCTACCTAATTTATCATGGAATTTAAGCCTGGTATTGAAGAACTAGGGCTTGTAATAGGAGACCTAGAATTTGGGATTTGAGGGGCCATTTGGGGTCCGATTTTGATGTTCTTGGTATGTATAGACTCGTGTGAGGACGAGGATCCTATTGATGTGACTTTTGTTGGGTTCTGAGACGTGGGCCCGGGGGCCGAGTTTGAGCAATTTTGGGATTTATGATGTGAATTGGATAATTTCGAGTGGGCTTCGTTCCCTTAGCATATTTTCATGATTATGTACTGATTGTGGCTAGATTTGGAGCATCCGGAGGTCGATTCGTGCGGGCAAGGGCTCCGCGGGCTAGAGTTTGGACCGGATCGAGGTAAGTAATGATTGTAAATACTGTCCTGAGGGTTTGAAACCCCGGATTTCACATAGTGGTGCTACTTTAGGGTGACGCACACGTTAGATGACGAGCGTGGAGCCGTGCGCCATTGGGGATTGTGACTTGGTCCGTCCCGTACGACTGCTAAGTCGCGTATTTGATTTGAAATCTTATGATATTCCATATTTTAGAGATTGATATTGTAATTTGGGCTGTATGCCATATGTTGGGGCCTTGTGCCGACCTGTTGAGACCCTTAGGGGCATTTTTACTATTTTTCCTCCCTCTATTTGTTTGAAAGCATAACCTCAGTCATGTTCTACCTGTTTGTTTGATTAAACCTGGTTTTATCACATTACTTCTTAAAAAAATAAAAACTGTTTGGACTGAGTTCCCTAATTTACTGAGATAGACCGAGGGTCTAATAGTGAAGTCAATGACTGAGAGAGGCTGAGGGCCTGGATGTGAGGGTTTTATATTTATGGATCGGGCTGCACGCCGCAGCAATATATATAAATATATATGTATATGAATCGGGCTGCAAGCCGCAGCGATATAGCGCTTGGGCTGTAGGAGCCCCTCCGGAGTCTGCACACCCCCAGTGAGCGCAGTCGACTATATACATGGATCGGGCTGCACGCCGCAGCGATATATGGATTGGGTTGCACGCCGCAGCGGTTTCTATATGGTACCTATTGAGTGTGAGTGCTGAGTGTGAGCGCTGATTGGTAAGAGTTGAGTCACGAGTGACTGAGAGGCTTGCCCGAGGGGCTATATATATATATATACATGTACATGAGTGATGTTGGCCTGAGGGGCTAGTATATGAACTTACTGTTTTCACTCCTCTTTAAAGTGAGTTTCCATTGAACATGGTGATTTAATTACTGTTTTCACTCATCTTTAGACCGAGCCTCTATTGAAAATGTTGAACAGATGTTTTATATAATCTTTCATTTAAACTGTAAGTTTTAAGTTACGAAAGGATTGTGAATTTTCTGTTATGCCGAGGGTCGGTTATGGTTTCTATCCCTTTTATTATAAATGCTATTCGAACCCTACTGNTTCAGAAGAAGGAAAATGGAGGAATAAGCGGTAGGGAGGGTAAAAAGAACGATGGGGGGTATGGGGATGAGGGGTTAGGAGAGAGAAAGTGAGGATTAGTACTGTCAAATAACGAAGGGCTTAAATTAAGGAGTATAAAATATCACATTAATTATAACCTTAATTAGATATGGTATATAAATGGTAATTTGGTATGCTAAATGTAATTAAGTGAAACCTTAAACATGTAGGGTAAAAAGGTTTTCATAAATGGGATAAGAATGTAAAAAATCCTTTGAACATACATTATCAAAATTCTTAAAATAAAATTTATATTTAAAAATTATATGAAAAGTATAAGTGATCGTAGTTAATAATTAAAAATATTTAAAAAAAAAAAAACTGTATTAATTTCCAAATACCCAAGCTTCGCATTATGCAAATAATTTCAAATGTCAAAAGACAAAAAAAAAAAGTAAATAAAATAAAAAGGAAAGAGAGTCCTCTACATTTAGAATGTTTTCTCTGTCACTTCTTTCACCTTCAATCATCTAGAACAGAAGAGTCACTTTTTGTTCTTTTTCCTGAAATTCTCAAACGACCCCACAACCAAATAAATTTAATTTCTTCTCTTTATTTTGGAGCTTTCCTCCTCCATATTGACAATTCCTTTCCACGATCACACTTCAAACAGAACACCTGATCAAACTCTTTCACGGTATGTTTTTGTTTTTAATTTTCATTAATCCCCCAATTTTATTCTTAGCTTAACAAATTAGTACTTCTTTTAGCTCTGCGTTGTTTATATTAATCATTTCCTGGATGTGTTTATTTGAGTATTATATAAATACAGCTGACAGGTAATGTATAATTGGAAGCATATCAGGAAAAGTGGGATATTATGGTTATTAGAAAATTTAATCCTAGAATTAGATAAAGTGTGCTATATGTAGTGGGTGTTTCTTGGAGAATTGAGATAGTTGATACTATTATTTCCTTTGTCTAAATAATCTATTTGTATTTCTGAGATCCAAACTAACTTTTACCAGGGGATAATATTACAATGGATAGAGATATGATCTTGTACATGTTTTTAAGAATATAAGCCCTAGATAATGTAAAGTTAATATCTTTAAAGGAAATTTTCTGCAATATCTTTAAATCTCTGCTCCAACAGCCAGCTCCCTCAGTAGTGGTATTTGCTGAAATATCACTAATTCCATTCTTAGAAAGTATGGTACTGAAAGACGTAAATTGGATAAGGAAATCCATCTCTGTTGGATGAAGTTTCAAAATGGATTCATTTTCTTTCAACGAATAAAACTTTTGAAAAAATGAGGGATGTGTTGCGAAGACATTCCAGAAGGTCATCCATCCTAGGAAAACGAATTCGCTTTAGGTTCACATGTTTCCTAAATGGTTTAGATGTGTCGAGTTAACGTGAGAGATAGTAACTTATATATTGTGATCAAAGAAGAAAATACCATTAGTATTACAATTTTGGAATTTTGATCATGTTATTCCTTTTTCTGGGTGGTAAGCTTATGCATCTTATTATGATGCATTAAGCAAGTTTAGGCTTGTATTGCTGTTGCCTTTGTGCTGTATTTTCTTAATTCTTCATGAATCTCTTTCACCTATGTAAAACTTGATCCCCTTTTCTCCCGTTATTAGAGAATGACTTCTACTTTGGAGCCCACATATCAGTTCGGACAGAAGCCATGGCCAGCTGAAAGCAGCCTGAAAAACTGAAGGAAGGGTAGAAAGTAAAGAAAAAAAAATGTAGATATAGAAACTTCTTTTGATGAGCTGGTATCTGGCTAACCTTATTGCGTACATATACAAGTATGTTAATTTTAGCTGGGTAGCTTTAAAGAGCACCTTCGTATTGAAATGATTTGAAATGGAAAAAAGCAGCTTGTAACAGACTGCAACTCTCCTAGACTGCAAATAGCATGCAACCCAACAAGCGAATGTCATTAGCAAACTAGTAAAGATGATATTATAACAATTATGAAGGAACATTGAAGCCTTTTTCTATGAACTTGCATTCCTGTCTCCGGCAGTCAAGGTCAATGTGTGACGAAACCTCCTAAAACCTTTTCTATTCAAGAACGTGCCAGGTAAGAATGCATTCTTAATGGAAAGACTAATTTACACAATTTGAATAGAGGTAAGGTTAGAAGCATGACTATTAGGAAAAAGAATAGGCAGTAGAATACTAGTAAAAACTTGATATAGGTTATCAGATCTAGATCAATGATGATAAAGATGTTAAAGAGAGGACACAACTTAGTGTATAGTTGTTTGGTGCGTGGGGTATAGCAGTGACACTGGTCAGTATTTGTAAAGTTAACTTACTGTGAAATTGAAAGATGTAAAGTTAACTTACCGTGAAATTGAAAGATGTAAACTGTAGCAGTGATATGGCAAGGTTTACCCTTTTGCAGTTGTTCAAGATAGGCAAGTCAGCATATTCAGAATTTTGTTGTGAAAGAAACAGCAATTTCATCAGAAGGATGTAAGTTAATGAAATGTAAAGGGACTGTAAATACTAGTACTATGTTTGGAAAATAGCCTATAATCACCGGCTGTCTCATAATTCAAGACTTTAGGGCTAGAAAACAGTAAGATGATGCAGAGGGATATGTCAAATAAGTGCAGGAGTAGAACATGCGCTTTGATTGTCTATTTTTGTCACAGTTTAGGCATGGCCTGTCTCTTGTACATCTTATGTTCCTAATGGCACTTATCTGTTAAATTGTTCACTCTTTCTGAATTTGTTATTGAGAACTCTAAGTTTGAAGGGAGCTACTCTCCAGTTTTTTACATTGTAGCAACTTTGAAGTAATATTTTTGGTATATCGATTCTACATCTTGGTAATAAATTCATCTAATCATAAACTAAGGTGGTGTCGTACAGATAGTTTTCGTTGCATATGGCCAATCTTGATGGTGATGATGAACCTGAATGGATAAAGAGGGTGAAATCAGAAGGTGCCGTTCCTCTTCTGGAACCAGATAACTGCTCAAATGGTTGGGCTTCTCCACCAGGGAATAGTTTCATGGTAAGAGGTCCAGAATACTTTTTAACAAAGGGTAAAGTTCGTGGGGGTGAGTTTCTTCTAAAACCTCTTGGTTTTGACTGGATTAAAGGTCCCAAAAAGATTTCTGGTCTCCTGAATAGTCCAACACACCGTATCAGCAGGGCTCTTCAAGAGGAAAATCCAACTGGTTGCAAACCCTTTGTTTGGGCTTTCAACTTGCAAGTTCCTAGTAAGGAAAATTATAGTGCCGTTGCATATTTTGTGGGTCTTGAGCCTGTCCCCGAAGGGTCTTTAATGGAGCAGTTCTTGAAAGGGGATGATGCATTTAGAACTAGAAGGCTTAAATTGATAGCAAATGTTGTTAAAGGACCTTGGATTGTAAGAAAGGCAGTTGGGGAGCAAGCTATATGCGTAATTGGCCGTGCGCTGACATGTAACTACTGTATAGCAGATGACTTCATAGAAGTAGATATTGATATTGGATCTTCCGTGATAGCAAATGCAATTGTTCATCTCGCATTTAATTATCTATCAACTCTTACTGTTGATTTAGCTTTCCTTATTGAGAGCCAAACTCAATCAGAACTACCAGAACGCATTTTAGGAGCTGTAAGATTTTCAGAGCTGAAAACCACTTCAGCACAGCCAGTTGAAATGCCATGTGATGGGAACATGGGAGAGTTGCCGCCTTCTTTCTCTTCAAGGTTATGGAAATCGTTTGGGCACAGTTTTTCTCACCGTGTTCAGACAGATGCTCAAGATGGTAGCTCCAACTCCAGCTCATCACATGTAGAGGGGGCTGTTGATAGTGGGATGTCCGAAGAAGATACAAAAAAATAGTAAGTGATCTTAGACTTTAAGAACGCTTTATCAAATAGCTGACATGAAAGAAACTGGAGTTTTCCTTCCTCATGTTAGTTTTACTTTTTCTGTTTTAAAATTGACTACATTTCGGGATCCCCCACCCCCCACCACACCATCACCAACAAACAACAACAACAAAAATGCAAAAGCCTGTTTCATGGCTGAATTTTGAATTCTGAGTTCATGTTTTCCTTTATTTAGAAACTCACCATGGTAATAACATCTTTTTGACATTGCAAAGCATGGCAACTACTAAGAGTTTGGCAAATCCCGGTTTGATCTAATTTATCAACAGTGAAATTGGTCTATTAGTTTTTATTTTTATTTTGTGTGCGAGGGTGTGGGGGAAACGTCTACATCCTTCCTCGGTTTAACAAAAAAAAAGCACAAACAGAGAATCACACAAAAGTTTTTGGTTTAATTCCATGTTATATAATGTTCCCAATTTTTACTCTTCCTGAGAATTTTCCTCCAGTTAGTTAAAGCTTCTTGAATGGTAGTTATGATTTCTTTTAGCAAAGCTGTTACTAGTTTCCCTTTGTTCTGGATTTCCTCTGATTGTTTTTCCCCTCCATAGCAATATAGTTTAAGATAGTTTTCTCTGAAGTGTGGATTCTTAAGTTGATGTTGTCTATGAAGCTTTAAACTCGTTTGATCATGGTTTTAGAGATCACGTTCAAAATGAATTCCTTTGACCCGTTATGCATCCAGAGTAGATTTTACATATCTTATATTTCTCCTCTTCTTCGTTCACACCGCTCTTCTTTTGAACCCAAAGAATGCTTTTAATCATTTGAGATGCTTCCCCCTTATATAGTGCCAATGGTTGTAGTAACTGGCATATCAGTTTTGTAAATGACTCCTAATTAAGGATATAAACAATGAGTTCAAACTTCAACCATGACTAGGTATATGTACTAGGCTTTTCTGCCTATTTCAGTGTTGGCTATCCTTCAAGTGTCACTCTTCCAACATATGCTGCATCTAAAATCCACAGAAAATGTTATAATTTGCAAATGTCTTTCTAATAAATATGTTAACGCAGCATCATGTTACATTTTCTCTGAGAAAGATTTTGTTTTTTTATTTCATTGTTTAAGCATGCATATGGAGCTCGTGTATTATTGCTGGCGTTCTGCTGAAACTACTTTCTTTTTTCTTTTTTCTTTTTTCTTTTCTCCAGACACCAAGATTAGGGTTTTCTCTCGGATCGTGTCCTCTTTCCAATGAAGACAACATTGTCATTTTCCTTGCAATATATCCCTTGCTCTCTGTGTTCTTCATTAAACAGTTCCCTCCTTGTATTCTTTCTTGGATGTTTGAGATGAAGGCTGTTACTCAAGTTATATGCATCAAATATCCGCTCATGTTCTTACTGCATATACTGATACGTTTCTTAATATTTGAACACTGCAGACCTCAACACTGTAAATTCGACGAATTTCTTGAAAGGTTCTATGGCTTCAGGCGTGAGGAATCTTACTATTAGTCTCTTGTTGCTTGTGATGGCTAACCAATATTTGTGGCAGTAGAATTATATACTACAAACAGATGCATACAGCTCTGGGGCAAATTTAGCGACACGGAACTGCAGTAACATTCTTCGGCTGTATTGGCCTCTACCATTTTCTCATTTCTTTCTGAAAACCCACTTCTTCACCAGCTGCTCATTCACTTGTATTCTTGATATTGATTTTTCTTTGCTTATATCGATTGCTCGGCAACAATAGGATACTAATTTGAAGGGGTTTGATCGGTCATACATTGTTTCTTTTCCATTCTTTTTTCTCTTCAGCAACCCCATATTGTTTGATGTAAGGAAATACAATCTTTTATTGAAAATGTAGGGATAGAACAGCTATATTTGCCAGAAGAAAGAAATACAAAAAGAGAAGAAAAACAAAGAGAGAAACCAAATACAGTAAATACTCTCATGAGGACAAACCAAATTTTACATAAGGATACTACCTGACCCAAAACTACCTAAAAGGGGAACCTTCCAAATATTGCAAATTTATGATTTTCCAAAAGATTTAAGAAAAATGGTTTCAACTTGTTCTACTCAATGAAGGTACAAGGATACCAGCTTACCCAAAACTAGCTTATATAAGGTCCTATAAAGATCAAACATGAAAACATATACTCCATGAGATAAAATTTAAGCATACATCCCATTTACAAAGCTAAGAAATGATTCAAGATACTGGACTAGGAGAATGATCTAGGTATCAAAGTATATCACTAAAACAGTCCAATAAAAGAATGAAAAGTTAACCGATTAAGTTAGCAACCAATTACATGTCAAAAGTGTTTTCTGCACATCTGGTATCTTCTATATTCTGAGGCAAGCACTGGCCAAAAGTTTTGAATAGGAAAAACTTCACAAGAAATTGCATATTAGGCTTTCTCAAGGACAAGATTGACAAATAAATCTCTTTTGCAGTTTCCGGAAACTTCCCAAAGGGCCAAATTTCATTCATAAACAAAACTTAGATAGTTGAAGCAGTCCTTTTATCTCTTTGAAGGCTATCTTCATCCTTAACATAAGACTCTTTTCTTGACTAGGTATTGAATGTCTCCATGTTTTCTTTGCTTTCTGTTTCATTCATGGGAGAGTAGTGGGGGTGGGGCTGTAGCACAAAGCACAGAATAAGCAACTAAGCTTGAAGCTTTGACGTATGTTGCTCGGACTCTCCAAAAATATCACGGGTGCATGTCGGATCCTCCAAAAGTAGTGCATTTTTGGAGGATCCGATACGTGTGCGGCAGCATTTAGGAGAGTCCACGCAACATAGGCTTTGACAGTATAAGCAAAATCCATGAATCTACTCTGACATAAAATAAGCATTAATGGACAGAAATTGACAGCAGTAAATATAATTGTTCATTACATAGCCTAGAAAACAGACAACAGAAATTCTTTTGATATTTGCATATGTCATCCTCCCAAATCATTTAACAAAGAATTGGAATGCATGCATGGATGGAACACAATGGCTAAAGCACCTAACCACAAAAAATTAGAGTTAAGTGGAATACTATGGTGCATCTATAAATATGTTAATAACAGCTTTGTCCAACACACTTAAACATGACAGCGGTTACCTAAACAGACGAGTGTTTCAAAAATCAATGAACATATTGTCGCCTAAATGACAATTGTTGAGATTACTGGGCAGGTAAACCAGTCATCCTTCAAAATCCCAATACTAATAAATACATTGTAATCCCCACGTAAGCAGCGAAAGCTATACAAGATTGGCGCCAGTATCTGCTAATGTACTCATCTGTAAAGTTCTACCATTTCCAGCTGCAAAAAACCGTACAGAAGGCAAAGAGGGATCGGTGACAGGTTCAATCTCAAGAAAGTTCAAATCAAATGTAGCAGACTTTTTCAAACTGAAAACAAACACAACCACAGTCCATCCCAGCAGTGTAACCGCCCAGTAATTGTTCATCCCATGTATCAGACCCCAACCAACAGCATAACCAACAATAATTCCCGATAAATGCCCAAGAAAACTTGCTTGAGGAACAATAATAGAAGTAAATATGAGTGATTCAAATGGTGCAAAACTGATGGGAAGTGAAAGAAAGCCAAAAAGATTCAATTTTGACGATGGTTGCTTGACTGAAAGAATCGTCATCCATCCAAACACCACACAAGAATATCCAACAGCAGTAACTCTCCGAAAATACTCAAGCTTAAATTTCTGAATCAAAATATGGTACATTGCCACGACAAGCATGCCCGAAAGAAGAACCAAAACCAATGTATAATGAAGATAATACTCAACTCCAAGACCTATATCTCCCAATTGTTCAACAACCCCAAGACTCCAAAGTGCACTCATATTAAAAACAAGATGAAGCACACTAATATGCGAAAACGCCGATGTTACTATCCTCCAATGATGACCTTCAACAGCAGTTTCATAACTCATACCAACATGTGAATAACCAATATTTGACTTCTGAATATAGAACCAAATTGCACTGCATATTCCAATAACACAACTCGTTGCTGGCTTTTCCAATATCTCATAAAATAATGGTTTCCCCATTTTGAAGAAACCTGACCTACTCACAAATCACAATTCCTTCCTCAACTTAATTGCTAAATGCTTACAAGGACACAATTTTCTCCTGTTTATTTCTCTTTTTTTCCTTCTGGGAATATGTAATTAATCAAATTCAATCCACAGCAAAATTAAATCTTGAAGCAGAATAGAGAAACCCCAAATCAGAAGAATCAAGTATCCTGCACTAGGGCTAAGTAGGATGAGTGAAATCACATAAAGACCTAAATCTACAAACCTAACTTCAAAATTTCTTAATTGCAATCTTATTCAGATCCAATATAACTAAGATTCAAGAAATCCTCGTACAAAGATCAATCGAGCTATTAATTTTCAATAAAAATTGAGAATTAATGGTAGCCCAAAATCTAAAACAAGTAAAATTAAATTACGTAATACTTACAGGTTTGTCTCGAAGAAATGTTGCTATGAAAATCAATGTATTTTAGGGAGAGGGGTTTCAGTTGTTTTTTTTTTTGTTGAGAGTGACATAAGGAAAATGGAAAAATTACAATTGTGGTCCCTCAATTTTTAAAACCTTTAATTTTGGTCTAACCCTCTCACACACCAACAATTAGTTAATGTGAGCACTTCTTTGATGTGATTCTAAGGGTGTATATGGTACGAAGGAAAAAATTTAAAATAAATAGTTTTCTTATTATTTTTAATTTTTTATATTAATTAACTAAAATCAATTAAAATTAAAAATCGTATTTTGAAACTATTATTGAGAAAATATAATAAAAAGAATATTTCTAAAAGTTTTTAAAAAATGCAATTATTTTCTTCACATAAATTACACTCTATATTTTGTTCAAAAGAGATTTCCACGATCATGTAAGCCCTTTCATTTTACATTGAATTTTTTTGGCGTTTGGACATAAGAATTGTATAATTTCGGAAAAATGAAAAAAAAAATCAAGTGAAAATGATATTTGAAAATTAGAGTTGTGTTTGGAAATGAATATAATTTGGGATTGTTTTTTATTTTTTTGAGTGATCAGAAGTGAAACTTTATAAAATAACTTTTTGGAGTTTTTTAAATTTTCGAAAAATTGTGAAATTCATCTTTAAGTGAAAATTAAAAATTCATGGCAAGCATAACTTTTCTCGAAAAAAAAGAATCTTTTTTTATGGCCAAACGGGTTAGACTACACAATTTGGACGTTTTCTTTCTTCCTTTTCTTTGTTTTGGTAAGTTGGTATATATTGATTAAAGTTGGACCTATTATTAAATTTTGCATCACTACAAGGAAAGTTGGTGTATCCTTATGGAAACCAAATTAATTTCTAACTTCCTCAGTCTATCATAAATAAAGTACTTGTCACTCTTCTCAAACTTATTTCAGATTGCACTTACCTTATATTATGATTCTCAGAACTATATATAGCAAGAAATGTGATAGGTATTTACACAAGTTATAACTCATCAAAAAATTGTTGCTCACTTCTCTGTTTTCAAAATGGCTATGAGGAAAGCATCCATCACTTTGTTCTCCATGGTTTGTCTCATGCTTATCACAATAGGTATATACTTCTCCCTCTTTTACTTTCTCATCAAATGAAAATCCTAATTTTATATATGTTTGTATGCCTAAATTAAAAATTGAATTATTAACATAAAAGTATTCATAATACAAACTAATTTAATTTTTGGAGTTTCAAGTATATATAATTAATATAGCAAATCCAAAATAGTTTGGGATTTCAGATATTGCAACTTATCATATTTTTTCTAAACCGGCCTATAAAGTTGTATTATTGTCTAGTAACACTTGTTTTACACGAATTTTACTACTTTTGTGTTTTTCTACATAAACATAATATTTGTAATACTTTATAACAAAATTTTAATTAATATTTGTTTATAGGCTTGCAGAGTGTGGAAGGTTCGGTGTTGTTTGGTGAACCATGCACAACATTTAGGGATTGCTTTAATTCTTGCGGTCATGGCGCAATCCCCTTTTGCCAGAATGGACATTGCAGTTGCGATAAGCAGGAGGAGGCTATGAGCATTTCTCCAACTGGAGCTATTAGAAAACTTTTATAAAATAATTAAAGACTCTGTATTTATACACTGGAATAATTGGCAGATTGAAATTTTCTTTAGTTGCTGAAAATAATAAAGACTCCAAAATAATGATTGAAACTTTTATCCATTTTTCGTGTATTTTAATCGCATGAAGACAAATCACTTCTTTTATTCTTTTGTATGGCACGACTTAATTTCTTGCATACATCTGTGATGACCCGATAGGTCATCTAATGCTTTAACCCTTAATTCTGTATTTCAAAATCTCAAATAATTCTTTTAACCTTTTTTCGGAAGGCTTTTATGTGAAAAATTGATTAAATGTAAAATTGTGCTTTAAAACTCATTTGAGTTGACTTTGATCAATATTTTGAGCAAACGGATTCGGATCCATATTTTAACAGTCCCGGTGGTTCTGTATTGTGATTTGGGACTTGGGCGTATGCCCGGAATCGAATTCGGAAGTCTCTAGCCTAATTTATCACAATTTGTTGAAAATTTGAAGTTTAAAGAAATTTCAAGTTTGACCGATGTTTGACTTTATTGCTACCGGGTCCGTATTTAGGTTTCGGAGCTTGGCATAGGTTCATTACTGTATTTATGACTTGTATGCAAAATTTAGTGTAAAATGGAGTTGATTTTACGTGATTCGGACGTCCGGTTGTTAAAATAAAAGTTCTTAAGTTTTATTGAAAATTTCATTCGTTTTTGTGTCCGATTCGTAGTTCTAGGTGTTATTTTGGTGTTATTCTGATTCTTGCAAGGCTGCGAGCTTATTACATAGTTTACCCTGCGGAATTTTTGATGCTCTTTCTTACTTGTAATTATCCTTACTTACTTACCTTCATGCCCTTGTGCTCGAAGGGTTGCTTCTGAGCTGATATTTTGATTGTCTTCCCAGTGGCACTCTCTTTTATCTACGTAACACTCATACGGTACCTTTAACTACCCCAACTCCTATCTGTGTTTCTCAAGGGTCACGATGTCATATCTGCGAGACTGAATTCCCTATGTTGGGGTTCACTACATTTATCTTGCATTGACCTGTTGATTTGTCTATATCCTTTTGTCTAGCCATTACTAGGCTCTTCCTGAATCAACTACTAACTACTCGTTGGCCTTCTCATATCAATGTTCCGCGTTATCTTTCTTAGGGTTATTTCTTTTGCCTTAACTTACGTCTCGCACTGGCTCCTTATTTGTCAATAACATCTCGAGTAGGAACCTCTACTTCCTTTCCTTGACGCCGTGTTTGCATAATATCCTGGAATCATAGCATATCTGTAGGATTTGGATAAGTGCAATCTCATTCCTTTCTCATTTTTATCGCATTCTTCTTTTACCATTCCATAGTTATTATGACCATTTAATTCTAACTTAATACCAATTACGATCTACCTATAGATATTTCACGTCTTCATCTTTAACGTCTTTTCACATCATCGATGACCCTTACTCGCCTTGCGGTAATCCTTCTGTACCAAGGATAATAAAATGCCTTACTCGCGAGGGCGACAGTATAACTGGAACATACAGTCCCTTAAGCTTAACCATTGCTTGCTTTAGGGAAGCGTCTTCCTGAATGACCATTCTTTGAATTTCTCATGAATCTTCTTCTGTTGTCTACTCTATTATCGCCAGAACGAAATATGAAATTCTCATGATGTCGATCATTATCAAATCACTCAATCCCTAATTCATGTTTAGTTTATCTTGTTCACCAATCCATATTGATTTCTATTACTCTGGGGTCTAACTTTTCCTTCTGGTAATTGCGTCGGAGTCACAAACTTATTTCTCGGAATGAGGATATGATTTTATGGCCTATACTCTTTTGTTGTCTCAAGGCCTGTCACCTCCCGTCTTTTCCTTCATTTGACTATAGACTCTATAATACTGTCATCTTTTTCTTTATCTACGTTGTCATCCATGTACCTCATTTTACTCATAATGCTTCATTAACTCTCTTCTTATATTCCTGCTAACTGCTCCTTCAACTCAGAGGAGCCATACGGTACGGAGGAATAGAAATGGGCTGAGTGCCCGGCAACAGATCAATGCCAAAATCAATATCTCTATCGGGCGACATGCCCGGAAGGTCAGCTGGAAACACATCAGAGAAATCTCGTACTACTGGGACTGAATCAACTGTAGGGGTATCAATACTGACATCTCTCACATAAGCTAGATACGCGTCACACCCCTTCTCAACCATACGCTGAGCCTTAAGGAATGAAATAACTCTACTGGAAGTATGATCTAAGGTACCCTTCCACTCAACACGCGGTACACCTGGCATAGCCAGCGTCACAGTTTTGGCGTGACAATCAAGAATAGCATAATGGGGCGACAGCCAGTCCATGCCTAGAATAACATCGAAGTCTACCATGCTGAGCAATAACAAATCGGCTCTGGTCTCGAAACCACTAAGAGCAATTAAACACGACCGATAAACGCGGTCCATAACAAGAGAATCTCCCACAGGAGTAGAAACATAAATAGGGGAACTCAAAGAATCCCGAGATACACCCAAATGCGGAGCAAAATAAGAAGACACATAAGAATAAGTGGAGCCTGGATCGAATAGAACCGATGCATCTCTGTGACAGACCAAAATAGTACCTGTGATGACAGAATCGGAGGCGACAACCTCAGTACGGGCAGGAAGGGCATAGTATCTGGCCTGGCCTCCCCCTCGAGGGCGACCTCTACCTCCCCGACCTCCACCTCTAGCTGGCTAGGCAGGTGGGGTAGCAACTGGCGCTATGATCATAGCCTGAGAACTCCGCGGGGCATTCTGCGGCTGAGAAGTCTATGGAGGTGCACCCCTCCTAAGTCTGGGGCAATACCTCACCATATGGATTGTGTCACCACACTCAAAACAAGCTCTGGGAGGACGTGGCGGCTGTGACTGGCTCGGGCCAGGTCTGCTGGACTGACCACTGGAAGCACCCCGCGCAGGAGGCGCACTAGACACTGGAGGTGCATAATAAGACTCCTGAGGCCTAGGTAGAGCTGGAATACCACTGGCTGCTGAAAGAGCTGAATGAACAGGGCAACTCATATAAACCCTACCATGACGACCTGCAGCTGGGGCGCGGGCACCAGAATAATGGCCCGACTCTCGAGACCTCTTGGCCTCCCTCTCCTCTTTATCCCTAGCATGCATACCCTCAATTCTCCTAGCAATGCTCACCATCTGCTGATAAGAAATATCCATCTCCAACTCACGAGCCATGCTAGATCTGATGCTGGGAATAAGCCTCTCAATAAACCGGCGAACCTTCTCGCGAACCGTAGAAATCAAAGCTGGTGCATGTCTAGCCAAGCCGGTGTAACGGACAGCATACTCCGAGACAGTCATAGTACCCTGGCGAAAATGCTCAAACTCTGCGCGCCAAGCGTCCCTAAGACTCTGGGGGACATAATCCCTCGTGAACATATCTGAAAACTAAGCCCAAGTCAAGGAAGCTGCC